AATAAATTCTGGTACGGATTGCTACTCCCTTAGGATTACCTCGCTGTAAATGTTGACTAAATCTACTGAGAAGACATATGTTTGTCTTATATTAAAAACAAAACAAAACAAGGAACGTGTTATTTCACAACATAAAATAAGCAATGGATTCAACAATGTATATCCATCAGACTTCCTCCTGATATCTTGTACCCAGTAGTGCATCATCTTCTATGTGCCGTGTCCCTTCAGGACGTTGGCGATCACGGCTCTCCACAATTTCCTGCCCTTTGTTCCTTTTAATAAATTTATCTTTTTGTTAATTCTCCCAAAGCGTGTTCCCTCGTCCATTTACTCAAATTCATTCTTCTTCTTCTATGTGCCACGTCCCTTCAGGACGTTGGCGATCACGCCTCTCCACAATTTCCTCTTCTTTATAGCTCTTAATGAATTTATCTTTTTGTTATCTCTCCCAGATCTCTTTCCGTCATCCATTTACTCAAGCTCGCTAGTTAGGTTATTCACTATATTCTTCTGTCTCTCTTGATTTTAATCTGTCATCTGAGTATCAAATTTACCAAGCCTTTTCCCTCATTATGTGCCTTGGAACATTCAACAGCTTCTTCCTTATATTACATATAAGTATCCTTTTTATTTCCATTTTCTCTAAAAGTTCGTCGTTGCTCACACGTTTGGTTCATGGTATTCTAAGCATCCTTCTGTAGACACAAATATCTGCTGCTTCACGACTCTTTCATCTGTGAGGAGATTGTGCAGAATTCACTGACATATAGGATGGGTGATATTATATAAATGTTAAGTAGTTTTTCATATGTGAGGAAATTGTCCAGCATTCACTGTCATATAGGAGGAATGATATTACATAACAACAGTTCAGTACTTATTTTGTTTCTGTTGCTTCAAGTCTCTTCGCCTTGATGATGTTACACGATTTTGCTGTTACACTCGATATAAGATTCTAACTTAAATGAATACATTTACATCAATAGAACGCCATGCCACGTAAACGGTATGTCCAGATACATAGCAGAAGCATCAGATCAAATGTGATGGAAAGATTCGCTGTAACGGATGAAAATGGGTAGGATAGATTCTGACGAAAAAAAAAAAACTGCCCCGCACAACACAGTGAACCCACTTTCCTAGTAGCAAACCTAGCAATTGATTCAATATACTCTTTCCACTTCATGTCAGTCGGAGAACGTTGATCTGAAAGAGCATAATGAGTTAATCTCCTGGTCTGGATATATATATATATATATATATATATATAATTATTCATTCGAAAATTATAACATAAATATGTTATAAAATCACTAAAAAATAGTCATCTGGTGTCTTATCAAGCACTTGATAAGAAACCAGATGTGTTGAAACAAAATGGCTATTTTTGTAGTGATTTTATAACATATTTATGTTATAATTTTCGAATAAATAATTATATTCGCTCTACTCTGTATTGAGCACTCTTTTAAGAATAGTAATTGTTGGTTATTGAATTTATTCCGTATACACCAATCATATACTTGTATATATATATATATATATATATATATATATATATATATATATATATATATATATGTGTGTGTGTGTGTGTCTTGAACAATAAAAAAAACGTTAAAAATTAAAAATTTTAGATACACTTGATGTATATTAGATTTTTTGTTCTTTTATGATTTAAATTATTTTCCTTGTCTCGTTTCCGGCAGGATGGCCATTACTAGGAAAAAAAAATCCCAGATTGGTAGACGGAGAGAAATACAGGAGTGAATGACTGAAGAAAGTGAACATTATCTGTAGGTTTCATTGTTTTTTTTTTTTTATCGGTAATTTTGGTCAAACCTTGTATTGGTTAAACGAAAACTTTCAAGTTTTCTTTCTTTTTTTTTTTTTTTTTTAAATAGATCTGTGAGATTCATGCGTCTGAGAATTCCCTCCTCAGTCATTTTGACATTTTTATTGGTTGCTCAGAGGGGATAAATGCCAATATGAAAGTGGAGATTGATGTCAACACCCACGGGTGACAGTTTGTTTCATGCTGTTGATTTCAATAACGACTTTTATATATAATACGCTCTGTCTCCTAATATTGAGCACATGAACATAGTACGCCTTAAAACTGTTTTATATATATATATATATATATATATATATATATATATATATATATATATACACACACACACAGAGATACACACAAACATATAGTGAATTTGCAAGCATTTCTTAGATGTGGCACAAGGCCGAAAGTAGGGGACACCCAGTGAAGATCGAACTCACTTATCAGTCGTAATTGTTCTAGCAAGACAATTTTGGTAAACGTTATACCGCCTTGAGGTGCCCAACACACACACACATAATTATATATATATATATATATATATATATATATATATATTATTACGCCCCGATCAAGGCGTGAAACCACTAGGATGCAGGGGGTTGCAGAAGATTTGGAGCGAGAGCAGATAGGAGTGATAGAAGAAAGGATGAGGACAGGGATAGTGGATAGATCAAGGTAACTGGAGTGAAAGCAGCTCATCGGAGCAATTACCATGAAAGTATTTGTAAAAAAGACAGAGAGAGGCGACGGCGCATCTGTGAGAGAGTGACTGTAGACGAGATGCCAGATCAGGGCCAATTATATTACATATCCATCTCTGGATCTTGTCAAGATCTCCGAGGTAAACAGAAGATGCACCAGACCATATATGGCAGCAATACTCCATGCAAGGTGGAATGGTTGATTTGTATATTTGAAGTATCGATTCCGGGGAGAAAAATACGGCACAGAGAGCCAACTATATATCTTTCCATCAGTGGACAATGGCCTCAGTTAGATCCAGTGGAGATGTGTCCGACCCATTCATTGTCTTTAATAGAAGAAAACAAAGTTGTCTTCTTGCACCTCTTTTATTTTGCTCTTTTATTTTCTGTCATACTGGAAGCAGCATTACATAATGTTAAAAACGGTGTGAGATTTGAGCTTAGAACAAGTCGTGGGTTCTTCAATCAACAACTCTCCAAAGCAATAATTAAGACGATTGATCAGGATGTTCGTGACCTGCTCTTTGCTGACGATTTCATCTTTGTAGTCCACGCCCTTGAAGGATAAGAATGGATCGTTAACAATTCCTCTAGTGCATCTAAAGTTTTCGGTTCGATCATTAACATAAATAAACGGAACTTGTCCATCAGCCTATCTACAGCCATCCACCAGCTGCTGCTCCTACTGCTTATATTGTGGGAAAACCGTTCTCTCGGAAACCGTTCCTTCTTTTACCAATCTAGATTCCATTGTATACAACGATAATAAGTTGGACAAAAAATGAGTGTAATATGGAAAAGGCTATTTCTAGCTTCGGTAATCTTTACCATGAGCACTGAATGTTTCCCTTAAATGTAAAAATTGATATTTATATGTCAGTAGTACTGATATCATCTACTCTATGGTACAGAATCTTGGACTTGGAGTAGAACTGGCTTTTGAATTTAGCTATTTCAACAATAAACTCGTGGGACCTAACTGCCAATCTAGTAGCACGCTTTCATGTAGTCGCGGTACCAAGGAAAAATCTCGTCAGATTAGTTGCCATGAAAATATTTGTAGAAAAGACAGAGGGAAGCCTCGTCACGTCGGTGGGAATATGGCTAAACTCGAGATGCCAAGTCAGGATATGGTCTGTGAAACAAAGCAGCATAGACCTTAAAATATACGAGGTCTGGTTGTAGAGTACTGTGACTGGGTGTGCTGTGTGAGCTATGGATGCAAGATTGTGTTATCATCTAACATGGTATCTCGGGATTACATAACTGTAATTTTCGCTTTCTGTAACCAAGACAATGCATCTCTGCTCAGAACACCTTGAGCATCCGGCAATCCCTGGCCGAGAGGAATATCGCCTATTGAAACAACCTTTTTATTCACCTGATCTTGTTGTGTGTGACTTTTTTCTTTTCCTCAAGCTCAAGGGGGGTCATTATCGAAGGCGTGGAAGCCATCAAGGCGGTCGTAAAGTCGGGGGTGAGAATGATTCCAGCAGTGCATAGAAGCGTAGCAATGAAGGATGGAAAAGTGCATTAGGGCTGGATTAAAGGTGGATTTCTTTGAAGAGGGAAATCATGTAGTTTGGAACTGAAATGAATTCCTTGTGACAGAAACATATTGGCGTAAGGGATTTTTCTTTTTCTTTTTTTTTTTTTAATTAATGTTTGTTATATGCAAGGCCCAATTGTCACTCAAGGTAGAGGGTTACTGAAGACGTTTATTGTGCTATGAGTAAGAGTAAGCAAAGGACTTTATGAGGATAAGTGTGAAAAAGGTTATCCATAGACTTTAGGCTGGGATTGTAGTGATTCCGAAAGCACCATCTTCTGATTCTGTTGCATAAAGGAAGAGTTCTTTGGAAGAAGCTATCCGAATTTTACTTACTCTTTGCTGAAAGAATACGCATGAGATTGTGGTAGTTCGCCTCAATGTACACGGTGTGGCGGGTCTTAGATGCGAGGGTTAGTATTGGAAGAACTATGGAATATAGCTCTTCTGAACATTTTCTATGGAAATAACACTTTTGTCTGGGGTAAGTGGTTGTCAGGTGGAAAACAATTCATAATCCACGAGACCGCGTAGATGCTTTTGGACTCTATCAAGACGAGATAGTCAAGACTGAGCAGCGCCAGCTCTGATATGACAGCAGTCCGCCATTTTCGGCCTCGTTCTGTCTCATTCGGTTACGAAATCTCACCAGGATAAATATTTCAGAATTTTGTCATATAGCAACCATTCGCAACTAGAATATATTTTCTTTCAACTCGGAATCCTCCATTCGCCGATTTTGAATTTATGAAGCATTATTTGTATTATGTTTTTTTGCCTTAAACAAGATAGTCATGTCTCAAGCAGACATTTTAAAGAGAAAATAAGAAAAAATATCATAGCAAAAACATGAATAATACATGATATATTTTAGAAACAAAAGTTGTCTGTCACTGATGGCTTACGGCCATATCTCGTTGAAACAACAGTCCCCATTAATCACCGATGTTAAGCAACGAAGAGCCTGATGAGTACCTGGATGGGCGACTGCTTGGGAATACAAGGTGCTCTAAGCTTGAATATGCGTGTAATGTAATGGATAGAATTAGAAATCGGAAAGTCGATTTTCAAATATAGTCGGATTCCTTTTATTCACTAACCGGCAAATGAAAAGGTATTAATCTATATCTTTTTCCCTCCAAGTTATGGGTTAATTAGTTGAACTTGTCTCAGTAAAGAATTCTCACAAACCAAAAAATAATGTCTGGCCTTAAATAACCTGCAATAGTTTGATAAACCGAAAAAAAAAATTCAATCTGTCACACGTTGATCTAATATTTCCTCGTTTATTTATTTATTTTTAGCTAATAGATATACTCTTCTCAGGTGATAGATTAACGTCAATAAAAATACTTCCATAAGTGGCGAGAAAAGAGTCGACAGATGGAACCAACGCTTGGAATAAAATATCAAGAAGCGGTTCTGCTCGGATTAAAAAGAAATATGAAAATCATATATTTGAAAGAGGTTTTGTTATTTCGTCTATCTTCCAGTTCACCCTCCTTCCCGGTCATTTGAACAGGAGTAGAGGTTTACCTCTATTTCCTGTTTAGGAGGTACTTCCGGTTCTTTCTAAAAAAAATTCTCATTCTCTTTCAATCGTAGTAGCGGCTTAGTAGCATATTTAGCTTGCTTGTGCGTGAATTGATTGAAAAAAGAAGTTTCGTGGTTTCATTCTCAGTGTCGATTCTCTCTAAGCTAGCAAGTGGTAAGTAAAAGAAAAAGACAAAACAGACACAACAACGAAGAGAAGCAGACAATGAAGACCTGTTACAAGAAATATGGAGACAAAACAAGAACAAAGAATTTCAATTATATTGTCCTCTTGAAAATTTCGCGTTGTTTTCCAACTTAACATTGAAAGGATCACAGCAGAAGAAATATTTTTAAACGAAAAATAACAAAACAAAAGATATTTAACAACTGGAAACAAATGGTAAAGTAGAAAAAAAATTTGATCATTTTAAATACGTTTCTTAAATCGGTTTCACCCCATGCAAGGCAATAAAGCCACTAAAGGCGTTACTGGGTGTGATAGAATTACGAAAAGGAACATTATTAATGAGCAGGAAAACAAAAGACTAATCAGGAGGACAGTAGAAATTTTTGCAGTTGGAAAACAGGGAGACAGATCGAAGTTTCACATGCAAGAAGTGTGAGAAAATAAACTGTTAGCATAGAACTTACAGTTACATCTAGCCAGCTCAACTGTAAATTGATGAGAACTTGTTGCTAATCTAGTACTGCCCTTAAATTCGAAGAATCTAGACACCATAGCGAAAAGACCGTCTGAACAATAACCATGAAAATATTTATAGAAAAAGCACAGCGTGGCACACTTACGGCGGTGGGAAAGTAACTGAAGCCGAGTCGCTTAAAGCCAACCCAATACAAGGTTCAAGAACTACTTGAGGTGAAACGTTAATGAATGAAGTGTGTGATGAGAACATAAAAAGAGAAAAGAGGAAGTGAAAATTATGAGGATTACGATGGATTAATATTGTAGTATTCCGAGAAGCATCCACGCGGGAGTCTGTTCCACAAGTATCAGTTTTGGGGAAAGTGACGTCTTAGTGGACCTTTCTCCTTACAAGGGAAATATGGAGGAAATGCTCTTGATCCGACTCCATGAAAAGAGCATTACGGAGAAATATATTACACAAATTTAATATTCAAGGATAAATGATAGAGTTTATTTCAATAAACTCCATTATTATAGCTTAACAATTTTATTTCCTATCAAAATAAGTTGTCGTCCTGGGCGAAACGTTAAACTACATCCAGCAGCAAGGCCTCTGATCAGGAGGTTTTGAGGAGCTTGGAACCACCTCTTAATTGCTGATGTTCCCAGTTCCACCCTGACCCGAGGTGGTAGCACCTGTTAGGATCCCGGCAATGGGCAAATAGTTAACTATTACCAGAAATACTTTTTTTTGAAAAGAATTATTACCAGCAATATAATTTTGAAGGAAATATATTACCAGAAACTGATTTTTGACAAAACAAAATATTACCAGCAATAAAATCTTTTGCCGGCATTGAGGTTGATATGCCGTAAAACAAAATACCCCAAACCAATCTAAACCAAAGAATACATACTCTATTTTTACGAATCTATCCTAAAAATGTTGTCGGCATTAAATAACCCATTGAGGTTGATATGCTGTAAACAAAAAAATTAAACCAAAATAAACCAAAGAAAATTCCGAAATCTAAAATAAAGAATACTATTAAACAAAATAAACCAAACCAACTAAACCAAAGAATACTATTTATAATGAATATATCCTAAAAAATGTTGTCGGCATTAAATAACCCATTGAGGTTGATATGCCGTAAAAAACAAAATAAACCAAACCAATCTAAACCAAAGAATACATACTCTATTCATACGAATCTATCCTAAAATGTTGTCGGCATTAAATAACCCATTGAGGTTGATATGCTATTAAACAAAATAAACCAAATCAATCTAAACCAAAGAATACATACTCTATTTATACGAATATATCCTAAAATGTTGTTGCATTAAATACCCATTGAGGTTGATATTAAAAACAAAATAAACCAAACCAATCTAAACCAAAGAATACATACTCTATTCATACGAATCTATCCCAAATGTTGTCGGCATTAAATAACCCATTGAGGTTGATATGAAAAAAAACAAAATAAACCAAACCAATAAACCAAAGAATAAACCTAAAGAATATATCCTAAAAATGTTGTCGGCATTAAATAACCCATTGAGGTTATGCTGTAAAACAAAATAAACCAAACCAATCTAAACCAAAGAATACATACTCTATTCATACGAATCTATCCTAAAATATTGTCGGCATTAAATAACCCATTGAGGCTGATATGCCGTAAAACAAAATAAATCAAACCAATCTAAACCAAAGAATACATATTCTATTCATACGAATCTATCCTAAAATGTTGTCGGCATTAAATAACCCATTGAGGTTGATATGCTATTAAACAAAATAAACCAAACCAATCTAAACCAAAGAATACATACTCTATTTATACGAATATATCCTAAAAATGTTGTCGGCATTAAATAACCCATTGAGGTTGATATGCTGAAAAAAACAAAATAAACCACACCAATCTAAACCAAAGAATACATACTCTATTCATACGAATCTATCCTAAAATGTTGTCGGCATTAAATAACCCATTGAGGTTGATATGCTATTAAACAAAATAAACCAAACCAATCTAAACCAAAGAATACATACTCTATTTATACGAATATATCCTAAAAATGTTGTCGGCATTAAATACCCCATTGAGGTTGATATGCCGTAAAACAAAATAAACCAAACCAATCTAAACCAAAGAATACATACTCTATTCATACGAATCTATCCTAAAATGTTGTCGGCATTAAATAACCCATTGAGGTTGATATGCTATTAAACAAAATAAACCAAACCAATCTAAACCAAAGAATACATACTCTATTTATACGAATATATCCTAAAAATGTTGTCGGCATTAAATAACCCATTGAGGTTGCTATGCCGTAAAACAAAATAAACCAAACCAATCTAAACCAAAGAATACATACTCTATTCATACGAATCTATCCTAAAATATTGTCGGCATTAAATAACCCATTGAGGCTGATATGCCGTAAAACAAAATAAATCAAACCAATCTAAACCAAAGAATACATATTCTATTCATACGAATCTATCCTAAAATGTTGTCAGCATTAAATAACCCATTGAACTTGAATATGCCAGAAAACAAAATAAACATAAACAAACCAAAATAAGTCGAATAAATATAATGTGGTATTTCCTAAAATTTGACACATTTAGCACGAAGGTCACTGAATGCGTAGGTCATCCGGTATGGGTCAAAGTCTCCACTCTAGTAACGACTTGAAAGAAGATGAACTTTCTTTTATTGTTTCTCACCAAGCAAGGCGATAAAGCCACTTTGACGAAAGGGATTACTGAGTGTTAGAGAATACAAGAAGAAGAAAAAACTACTATTAAGGAAAAAGTACAATAAAAGAATGGGAATTAAGAAGATAGAGGATAACGATTAACATTGCACTAAAATTTCTAAAGATCAAAAATGACTGTGAAGCAAGAATCCGGAGTGAAGTGCGTTAGAAGAAACTCTTAACATAGAACTTACGGTGGCATCTAGCCATTTCAGCAGTATGATGATGAAATTTTTGCCGTCAATCTAGTCTTCTTCTTTAAATGCTATGCCCCTCAGGACGTAGGCGATCATGGCTTTGCACATCTTCTTGTCGCTTGCAACTCTTAATTAATGTTGTCTCTTTGTAATGTATCCTAAGCTCTATTCCACAATCCATTTACTCAAGTCCACTAAATATTCTATGCGTTGTTTTCCTCTGTCCCTTTTACATTCAATCTGCCCTGGGAGTATTAGATTTTCCAAGCCCTCTTTCCTCATGTCCTCTAGAATTTTCTTTTCCTGGAGCTAAGTATACGTATATATTTGTTTCAATTTTCTCTAAAACTTAGGTCGTTGCTCATATGACGGTCTACTGTATTCTCAGCATACTTCTGTAGAACCATATTTCTGTTGCTCCGAATCTCTTCTTCATCTTTGAGGAGATTACTGAGCTTAATGTCTAGGTACTATATAGAAAATGCATGTGTTTTAATTTTTTCAAAAGATTTACCTGCGACTCTTATTATTTGTGTAAAAATAAACTGATAATATAAATCGCATCATAGTCGTATATATATATATATAAATATATATATATATATATATATAATATATATATATATATATATATATATATATATATATATATAGTAGTTTCAGACTAAGAAAGCTATTCAAAAACTTTGATATAATCCTTAACTTTACCAGAAACAGCCCCCTGTAGATATATAAATACAGGACAATTGTAAACACAAAATGTAAAAAGAAGGAAATGAAAAGGAATCGCTTTTTGTTTCTGTTTATTGTTAAATCTACAAGTGGGACAATTTTAAAATAATTAGA